TGTGCCTTTGAATTGCTGAGGTGTCCTTTAAGACAGGAACATCATGTTGGGGAAAACTGGCCCATTGGTACGATCCGCTTCCAGACAAGGGTGTCGATATGTCCCCCCTCTCCGCTTTTACAGAATAGAAAAATTGAAATCACAGTTCATTCCAAAAGGACTTAGTGAGGGAGGTAACTTCGCTTAAAACACAACATGTTGCAAAGTAATTCGTAAACTCTTGGAAGCTTCCACCGGACGGTGCTAATATAGGTTGGAAGGAAAGTCTTGTCACTGTTGTGACTTTTTTCTCTTTTTATTTTCTAACTCAATATACAGTGGGAATTAGTCAACAATATACTCGTCATAGTTAGCCACTACAGTGCTTGCACCAATGGACAGGTAAGCATTCCCCTCCTCCCAGAACTGAGAAGGCTGCGAGTAGAGTAAGTCAGCGCCCTCTCGACTGATGTCATCAAAATTGCTGAAAGTTTTCTTAGCTAAGAAAGCCTTGAGGAGGCGGAGCAGGTAGCAGTCGTAGGGGACTACGTCAGGAGAATATCATGAGCGGGGACTGGTCTCCAGCCTTGCTCCTCAATTATTTGGTAGGTCTTCATAGCAGGTATGGGGTCTTGTGTACTACGAACGAGGTACCGACCAGTCTTCGGTCATTTTTCTCCACAATTTCAACTGGTTTTGGGAAGGCTGAGCGAAGAAATGTAGCGGTGTCGTCTGTTCTTATAAGGCAGCCTGTTCTACAGCAATCCCCCTCGCGTCGATGAATCCTAAGACAAAATTGTAGGTAATGCGAGGCTGTTGTTCAGCCTCATATTGCATGAGGCTGAAACAGCCTTTTATTTCCTGTATTTTAGAGCAGAGTGCGCCTTTCGAGAATCCAGATTCCATTTCAGGAAGTCATTTGTGGTGAACATGCATCTGGTTGTCAGTTAGAGCAGGAGGGGGGGGGGTCGTGTCTGGACCCTCTTCGAGGGGGGGGGTCGTACCCACACCGCCATTTGACACATCCCCATGCTGTACCCTGTTGTAACGCAGGTGAAGAGAAACACAGATTTTCCCTGACCACGACACACATCACATAATAAAATGCATTTTTTAAGAAAACTCGCCATTGAAAACTTTTTCCTGGCAACGAAGAAAGTATGACCTGCAGCTGGTCGCCCTCTAAGGCTGCGTTCATACTTTGCGACAACATCCACCAGCGACCATCAGCGTTTCGAGCGTCCCGTCAGCGTCAGCGACCGCGGCAGCCAGGTACTGCCATCGTTGTGATCACCGAAAGGGGAGTCGTATTTTGGTCATGAGAAAAATTTTTTTAGGATAGTATTCTCGTTGCTTCACGGACGTTGTGAAGGGAGGGGGGGGGATCGTAGTTGGTCAGTTCACGGACGCACTACTATTTCCGACACTTGAAATGATAGTTTAATTCTGACGACCTCCACCCTCGCTCGACGCTCGGTTCTGAGTGAGAAGGAAGAGTGCTGGAGGGCGGGTCGTAACAACTCCCAAAATCGCATTTTAGTATGGAATTATGGGGGGTCGTAATTTTCAGAAAATGATCACAACGCGATGGCGTGCCCTGCCGGCAGCGTCTCAAGGGCCTGAGAAGGTATGGATATCGACCTAGCGTCTACCAGCGTCCACCGGCGATCAGGAGTAGAGAGCGTGGGGAGGTAAGAAGGTAGCAGACTGCTGGTAGAAAAAAATGGGGAAGTAGGAGGGAGGGGACAGCTGGATTAGGCGCCGTGAAATTGTGGCGTGTGCAACCGCACCGATGCTACTACACAACACCGTATTCCTGGCCGCTGGTGGGCGCTGGTAGATGTATGAAATTGAGATCATCTATTTTAAGATGATAAGAGCGCACCCTTGAAGGGCACCCACGCTGATTATTTGGCAGAGTGAACCCGTCATTGCACGTTCACTAGTGGCACGCCGGCCTAACCAGGAAAGGATGTTTGGTTCGAAGTGGCCGTTCGAGATGAGATGTATACCATCTGATGCGCTTTTGGAAGCTGATTACAAATCTGCATTCCATATCTGCTAAACGATTCTCTGAGCAGAGTTGTGCAGGTTTTTGACCTGGTCACCCCTATTTTCATCATGTATGTAAGGCACAAGAAACCCCCCAAATTCGCACAAATTCCGAACCAAAGGTTGCCTAGGACATCAAGAAGTAACACTACACTCATTTCTCATGGGAATATCGTGTTCGCATTCCGCATCCCCCGTCTATTTGAGCGACTGTGACGCTAGAGAGGACGAATTTGTGCAGGAGCCCGTAGCGCACGACGCAAGCGTTTTTGCGCTGAATGAGTGTGATATTCGTGTTCTGGGGATCAAATTAGCCATAGGGGCAAGTTTTTAGCAAAGTCTGAGATTTTGACCAAAATTCGAAACAGTGGGGTAACCATAGCAATACATCCCTTAAAGGCAGTTGGCACGATGGTTTCCTACTTAGCCTAAAATGCTAGTAGGGCGCTGTATAGTGGGGAAATGGCGAAAGAACGGAGTGAAACGGTCAAATCGAGTGATTTGTAAATCGATTTCGGACGAGTTTCCCGTAGGCATCTTACCAATCACCGCTACCGAAGATACGGCTGCATATGTGTACCCATGTATGCATGCAGCATCACGGCCGCTTCATACCAATCCCTTCGCTTCATAATTTGCTTAGCAAATGAATGAATACGAGCGTCAGGAACGGTCGTCCATTTGTGGGCGGGCGGGCGTGGCGGGCGTTTGGGACGTAAAGTTGTGGCTTGATAGGGCCCTTAAGCACCTTCCTCGGGGAAACCGCTATGCAGCGCCTGCCCAGGGTCGCGGAATTCTATCCTGCCAGGAGTATTGATCCTAGTCGTCTTGGGGGATTTATCGTGCCAACTGCCTTTTAAGGCCGCGAGCACTATCCTCGACCAGAATCCCAGTGGGCATTGGAGTATTTTCGCTAAATTTCAAACCTCATTGGTAACAGACGGTCGTGATCACAAGTGTGACGATCACTTTTGGCGGCCGTGGCATTCGGCGCCAGTTTGGCGATACACCATAACGTAAAGAATGATGGCACCGGAACGGAAACTGAGGGCATTCAGGGGTGCTCCTCAAAACTCTTCCAGAATGGCCCCATTCCTTCAGAAGTAACATTTCTCGGCAGGATTAGATCTCCTGGCTACGTAAGAATGTTTCAAAAAACTGTAGGGAACATTTTCGAAAAAAAAATGCAGAACAAAGTTCCAACCAGGGATTCGAACCGTTGTCTGCAGATTTAGAAATCAGATTCGAGATCACTAACCAAAGACGCGTCCGTCGGTATACATCTCATTTCAAATGGCCACTTCGACCTACCATCCTTTCCTGGTGAGAGCAGCGAGATGCAGCGATGAGCAAGACACAACATTAGATGCGACTCCACCCAAACTACCGAACCTGAACGACCCTTGAACGGCTACACTCAAGGATCTATAAAAGTTCCAAAATTTCGCGAAAATCACTATAAACATTCCAGGTGGTGGAAGCGTCCTCTTGAGTCGTGCTGCTCTGAAGTTGTCAAGTGCTTTAAGCGTCTTTAACAAGGCATCCGACTGCTTCAAGGTGCTCTGGGCAGAATACAAACAAGTTTTGAAACGGTTTTTCCTCAAGTATTTTTTTAGAAAGCTGGCGGTAACATCGATGACTATGTGGAGCGCGTCGGTGGGAAAACCATGACCGAATCCATAATGCAACTTCTTAGTTTGGTCAGTTTTGCTTCCTTGTAACTTAATGTCACATTTCGTGATCAGCTCAGTTGGCCTGGTGGTCCGCAGATCAGGTAGTCATTTCCCCAACCACAGATGTGCGATCTTCTCATCCTTTCAAACAGTGCTTTCAGCTCGACAAAAACAACGCCAAATACGTAGCGAAGGGCATATCGGAAGCGAACAGACGAGGAACACTCTTCCTAGATGCGAAAAACGCCACCACGGACGCATTTATGAAACGTAAGCATGATTTTAGCGCTTCTTCCTAGCTTTGGCATCCTGTCCTTCTCTAAAAAAATTCTTTCTATCGGTTCTAATCGTAGTTCCAAAAAAGTGAAAACTATTTGCAAAATTCAATATTTGAATCGTGCTTATTACAGAAATGACAACAACTATGATGAAGAGATCTACGCAGAAAGAATGGACGTGCACCTGTACATACCTAACACAGGTGTTCACCGGTATGAAAGCACACATGGCCGCCAACTGCCAGAAGACTGCCTAGACAGGGACCAAATCTCATTGATCTGGTCTGGAAGTCATGAAATAAAAGTATAAAATGCTTGGCGTCTGTTCAAAAACCGCAAATCTTCTCCAAGAATCAGGGGAATTCCTTGAAATCAGGAAAGGAACATTTGTATAGTGTTGTTCGCTGCAAAAGATAGGCGTGTAAGCGAGGCTGGGCTCGGCGCACCGCCAGCCCCCCTCTCTACCAGTTGTTAAAGCGTCTAACCATAAGCGACAACTGGTGGGAAGCACTAATGTCAATGATATGGTACAGTCTTGTTACCTGCCGAAAACAACGGGCTGGCCCCGTACCAAACCCCTTTCCCCTTTGACAGGCCACATATCCGGCAGCAAACAAGACTAAAGACAGTTGTGACTACAGGCAGGCTCCTAAAAAATGAACACAATATTTGATTTCTTTGCGCCGTGCGAGGTTGTTAGGGAACTCTTCAAATGACCGAACCTTCTGACTGAATCGTAATCTTCAGAAACCTTGAACGTGTTTGCAATACGCTACTGCAGTGCCGACCAGGGTCGGATCCCTGCTCTGAAAAGAAAAAATGTGAAAATCGAGTTACAGGCAAGTGGCACAGTGAATTCCCAAGAAGTTTAGGGTTAACACGAATAATAGGACAGGATTCGGTGCACACGAGCATGCGCTTTTCCCAAGAATGTAAGTTTATAGCGCCCTATCAACAACATACCGACCCGGACGCCCACCGCGCCCGCCCGCCCACAAATGTCCGACCGATGCTGATGCTCGTATCGCTTCATTTGCGAAGTACAATATGAAGCGAAGGGACTGATATGAAGCGGCTGCGGTGCTGCATGGATATATGAGCACATACATGCAGTCGTATCTACCGTAGCGCCGAGACTGAGGCGGTGGACACGTCTTAGATGCATACTTGGCTCGAATAGAGAAGTGGTGAATGCAGATGTGCATTCCAGGGCTCTTCGCGCATTCCAGTGCCCTTCATCCTTATGGCAAGTACGTTAGCAATTAACCGGCGGCAGGGAAACCTGGTGCGCGTTGGGGGTTTGTGGCCCGCCATATCTAACTCTCTGTGGCAAATATGAGCATCAGAAAGTCGCAACATGAAGTATTAAAGACCACATGGCGTCTTTGGGATTCGCCGGAGTCGCAGAACATAGATGTGGCATACCAGACGTCAGGATCATGCAGGCCACTTAGCGCCCCAATGAAAGTGCTTAGAAGTGGAAACGAGCAAGTGGCCCACCTTAGCGGTGGATAAACGCTCAGGGCAAGATGAGGCAGGAGGGTGCGCTGAAAGGCTTCGTTGGCAGAGAGTAGATTCACCCGACATTTCGACCTGTGCGAAGTAATCGGGTGGAGGAGTGTAATTCTTTTCCGATGGCCCACACTCTCGATCGGGTCAATTCTTCCCCACCTTTGTGTAGAATTTTTTTGACAGTTCTGAAGAGTTGCTGGAGGCCAAGAAGAATTAGCACTTTCTCGCTGGGAGGTCCCCACCAAAGGGGGGGGGTTCAGCCTTGAGATAAACAATTCGACGCGGCGTTGCGCAGAAATTTTTGCCAATTGTTGACCTTTTCGCGGTTTTCTCTCGTTTCCGGTGCTATAATACCCCCCCTTCCACAAATTTTTTGGGGAGAAAGCTGAAGAGTGGAAGAAAATTTCGGAGAATGTGAAGAGGCCGGGAAAAGTTGGAGGATGGGGAAGGGGATCGTATTGGATGACAAAGATGGGAAGGTATCTGCATTTTCCGAAACTCTCCCCCAGAGGCAGGACGCCGCCAGTTGACCAAGGCTGCTTAAAAACGTCCCACCACGTATCGCTGGTTATCACCAAGATGTGTGTGCGTCCGTCTCCTGAACAGGATACACTAGAAAAATAGTAGTAGAAAGGGGATTAGTGAGTACAATATAAAGAAGAACCCTAATGCCTGTTGATTGTGTCCTTCAAACAAGTTTCTGTCAACTCACACATTCTTGCCTTAGAGAAAGACTTTGGTAATTGCGCAAAAGTTACGATATAAGACAGTATTTATTAAAGTTTTACACGATCTATTGAGCACAGGGCTCCAGGCACAAAATGACCCCAGCAAACCGTACCGTGCCACCGATTCTCCTATGAACTCATTTTATGGAACCTTCTTAGGAGCTGCTTTTCCGTTCCGCGTTTGCCTAGCCTGTTCTTGTAAGCATAGCCCCTTCTATAAGAGGTATGGCCGCGATGTGGGCTTAGGGGAGAGTTGTAATGTTCGCCACGATGTTAGGGTAATGATCTAGTAGGTGTCGCCTAATTGATGAAGGGTTCGCACCTGAGCATTTCGGTCAAACAAGAGACCATCCATCATCAAAGAGCGACATCTGACCCACACGGTCGAATGTGTACACAGGCAAGCCATCAGCAGTGATAACACGCAATGAGCAGCTGGCTACCATGAGCTCCATTAGCGGTTCTGAGTACATCCCGTTCAGACACTCTCACTTCACACCACGTTCATTTTCACTGGACTTCGCTTTTCCTTGGCTGTTCCTTGCCTGGCTTCTGGGATTTCCACATTTTGCATCCTTGGGATTTCTGAAGTTTCGAGGGCGAGCCATTCCTCAGCAGGAGACTCCAAGCTCCCTGCTATCTCTCCAAAGGGGAAAAACTTGCTCTTCAGGACTTGTCCTCCCTTTAGTACAAGCCCGGAATTCCACGCAGAAATTCTATTGGTGCTCATACCTGATAGCTAATCAACTGTAGTGATTTAGATGAATTTCCTTTGCGCTGTTCTCACGATTTTGGTCAAGCAGGTTCTCACCCGCATAATCGAATCACGAGATCCAAAGGTACTGCCATTTCAATTTTCAGAACCTTTTCTTGAAGGCACAGTCCCTGGCCTTATGGGCTGGACCGAGTCTTTTTTATAACCCCTTATTGTTCGCCCCTCTTATTGAGATGCCCTCTACCGTCTCGTGAAAGGGTGTGAGTCAATGAGGAAAGGTCAGTGGTGCTCTATCCCCGCCCACACGATTAACGTGGAATTTGCCTTCAGTGGAAAATTTGTAACATTTTACATACATTTCTGTATACATCAGTGGTATTTAGGTCGATCCACTAACACTTGACAATGTCTTATCGCAAATCGTTGAAAACTCGATGGACGACATGAGGTTCCGTCTACGTCAAGCAATTTACACAATGGCTCTTAAAAAGGTAACCCTTTTGGCACTAAATCCTTTACTGAACCAACTTTCCAAAATCAGGCCAGGTTTTTACCGACGTTTTTATCCAAAGGCAGACATGGCTGAAAACTAGCCTCCACTGACAATTTCCCTTCACTTGGCACAAAAACTCTTGCCACTCGCCTTACGGGCGACGGCACCATATGCCTGTTTGGCCCGGCACATGTAGTGCGGACTTTTGGAGATTCCGAGTCAAGCGATGTGGCGAGCCGGCATCACCCTCCTTAGTTCCTTGTGAAGGCGATTCACCCCTATGGAGGACCACAATGCAAAAACACATATTCCCCTGTTAGTAAGGAGGTGGTGAGGTTGAGAAGGGGGTCGTGCTGAAGGCGAACGAAGGGGAAATTGTGGAGGGAGGGGGGTGTAATTTTAGTATTTGTGGAGGGAGGGGGGTGTAATTCTTAGTATTTTCTCAACGAGATGATGTGCCCTAACGCCATAGCACCGCACCCAAATCTCTACCGTTAGGGCTCAGAGCCTCAAACAAGCACCCATTCCAGGGAAGACATACATGAACACTCCGGTCAGCGGGAGATGCGAGTTCGAGCCCCGACTAGGGTCTGACTTCTACCCATTCTCGTGAACACTGTCAATTCAGGTTCCTCGTTTTTCTGCAATCCGACAACGGAGCACTTGACAACTACGAAGAACGGCTCTTGGATCACTTCATAGCACAAATAAGTGGAAGCTTCGTTAAGGGTAAGCTTGTCTTTCGGCTTTCTTTTCAGTTCTCACTGATGGTACTTCAGGGTCACCACCGTATGCAAGGGATCATCGATCAGAAGGTCGTACCGTAGAGACTCGGGAGTTGATTCGTCTGAAAGAACCGATCGCTGATGACGATCTTCAAGAATCTCATAAGATGAGCATCGCTTTGGAGACTTACACTATTGAGCCTGTCAAGGAAACTAATGGAAAGCTGATCACTGCCGATAATTTGAGAATGTACGATTCACCACCTGCTGCTCCAAGCGAAACCAGCACAGTGAAGGTGAGAATCTGAAACATCGACCGAGCTCAGTTGCGAACGTTGACAACCCATTATTCAGTGGTAACATACAGTCGTCATCCGGCAATTGATTAGATCAAAGTGTCGCAGATGCGGCTGCGGCGCATCAGCTGTTTCCAGGGTAACTAACCATTTATTCTTCCTAATTTTCACTGTTTTTGGCTGCTTTTTTTAAGGTTAGTTGTTCCTTGTCTTCACAAGGTAAATAAGGATTGAGATATCGCTAATTTTCGCGACAATAAATAATTAAACAAACAAAAAGAGTCCACGTCCGCATTACACTTCATTAAGACAAAAACAATTACCTCGAAAAAAAATAATACAGAGAAAATTAGGGGAGATAATGGCTAAAGTAGGCTGGAACAGGGTACAGCATCGTTGTGCGAAACCCATAGGGGGGTCGTACTTGGCCGCTGGGGAGGGGGGTCGTAATCTCAAGGGTCACTCAGAGCCGAGCAATGCTTCGACATTTCAGTTGATAGTGGGAGTGGAGCTATGGAAGTCAAGATGTTTGCTTTAAATGCTACGTTACAGCCCTCTTTTCATGGGAAATCCCCAAGAATGGGTTCGTACTTGGCCGCGGGGGACGTGGGGAGTATCGCAAAAGTAGGCTCGCTAGGCATCAAACAGTACAAAGGTGTCATTGCTAAGGGTAATGGAACGGACGGAAAGCTTCAGAAGACCCGGATGTATAGGAATTTACAAAAATAATAAAATAATAAAAGATTCATTAGCAATATAGCAAGAATAAATAAATAAATAAATAAGTG